TGACATGACATCATTCAACAGTTAGACCATTTGTAAATAATTGTTGAAGAGTAATATGTGAACTCACATACAAAGGTCTCTACATGTGTGCAGGGGTCCCCACACTTAGGGCAGCGTAGCTGGCTTCCACCCTTACCCGATCCTCCGGAGCCAGACATTCTCTTCCCCTCACTGAGGCTCTTCTGTGTAAAAACAACTGTGTTAGCACGTGTTAAATTAAAGTATTATCATCCACTGCTTTAACTAGGTTGTGTACGTCCACATTTACAAAATGTTGCAAATAAAGATTACCTTTCCACCATCACTTCCACCATCCTTGGTTGTCCCATCTTTAGAGCCATAACAGACAGAGGTCTCTGAAAACGACCTCACACGTACTCGAGGAGGCAAATGAGTTTCTCGAAACCCGTGACGACTCAGAAAAAACAACTGAATCCGAGAGCACGACAGTCCTGTTAAAAAATTTTTTTAAATATTTTAAAAAAAGCAACATCCCTTTAGATTTCTATCAGCCATAAGTCTGAAAACTAATGACATTTACATATGATTTTAATTGCGTTTTCCTATACAATGCATAGTGTCCTTAGCATTAATTTTGGGGGAAGAGGGCATAATATTTTCACTTAAATTTTCTTTTAGTTTTCAATTAGGCTTCACGTGTGTCTGGGAAATGGGCAAATAAAGGTTAAAAGTAAAACAAAAATGTTTTTTAGAAACGTTTAAAGATTTAAAAAGGGGCATTTTAACAACATGTCTAATATTACATGTTATAAGGCTACATAATGCATAAATACCATAATACCAAAGACCATATTTCTATTTCATGTATATTATTAAGAGCAGTACTTCACGGTCTGATGCAAGCATTGTATTTACATGGGGTAAAATCGCTCCTTATGTTTTTGTTGTTTGTCATGAAATCATATGTATTGTTGGTCTAAAATCTGAAATACGAAAACGTAGGTGATGTGACAACATTGTCCTAACTTTAGCTTCTAAACTGTCATGAATTACCTTTTTACCTCCTGTTGACGTTAGCTACAGAACTGTCATAACAAACAGTAATCTAGGTCAGCTGGGGCCCTGATTCCACAAGTTGAAGCAAATAGCTCAATGTCATGCAGCTTAACGCAGCTGTAGGGCAGGGAGTGTGTGCGTCTTCCCTTTCGTACCTCTGTTAGCAGTGTTTAGGAACAACCTGGCAGCCGAAGCACATGGACAGGACATCTTTTCTTCTGTCTCAAACTCCTTAAACAAGCAAAAAAGTGTCAAGTTAGCATCGTGCAGCTAACAGACTGCGCTGAATAAGACAGGCCGGTTTAACGCCTCAATACTCCAACGTCACAGTTAGCATTAGCACAGCAGCTCGTTGACGAGACTAGATAGTCGCCACTACAGTCTAAATATTTACACTGTACACCACACGAAAAGGTGTTGGTATTTTAAGCTATCACGCAATGCTAATGCTATAAAGGTACCCTTTATGAACACTCTATCTAGTTAGCTTACGTAAATAGGTAACTGTTAGCTTCGCATGCTAGGCCTTAACAAAATTCACTAAGCGTTTTCTTCTAGAGGAAATGACAAGCAGCCGACGCTGCAGAGCTAATAAGCAGAGTGACTCCTAAGAAAAACAAATTTGCAGGTATCGTTCCCAGCTTATTTAAAACTACTAACTACGAAACACAAAGCAACATTTAACTAGCTTTCCAGTTTTACTCACAGTGCGCGTTGAAAGCAGTCGCGTCTTGACAGCCCCTCTCTGAAACACAAATTTGATAAATCACTAAAGCTTCTGCACGTTTGTTACAGCTAGAAAGGTCAGTGTGTCATGCTAATGCCACAGTGCCTGTTACATGGACTGAAAAGTGTCAACTTCTTTAGACCGTTATTTCACAGGTGTGACACGAACTAAAGTGATGTAACGCCTGCTGTTATGAGCTAGGTTATTAGGTTGGTTACCCGGCTAGCGAACTAGCCTTCCCCAAAGGAAGCGTTAAAAACAGTGTGCAAGGTGTCAGCAGCATGGTGGATTCATTCGTGCCAGAGCATTCAAAACCCATCCAGATATTTTGAGATCTGCTCAAACATAGCGCGATTCGTGGTGCGTTCATGACAACATAGTAATATGCAACGTTAACAAAGATATTGTGAAATTAAGTTGCGTTTGGTAGTTAAGGGACATATCACATCTAGCATTATAACCTGTTAACAGTCGTTTCAGTCACACTTTGTTATTTGATAGGCTCAGTTCAGATTCAGTATGCATTATTATGTAGAAGTTTAACACAGCCTTGGTACTCATGAGAGTTAGTTTGACATTTTAATGCATGTGATGAGATGAGATGAGATGAGATAGCCTTTGTCAGTTGCAGGTCTTTTGCCCACAACCGAGATGACAGACCTTGCCGACCGTACATACAATACAAACATCACATTGGGGAGACAGGTCAGGCCAGGTAGCGAGGGAAAAAAAACATTGAAATGTGCAACACAAAAGGATAATACAGGAATGCACAGGTATCAACACACCATAACACAATAAACACAGACAAGCAACATGGGAAAGAGTTCCAGTGTGTACACCTGATCTGGGACCGCTGCAATCTCTCGACTGCGCCTCCAGCTGACCCGATGTCCACATCATGGGGGAGGTAAGCGTTGGAGGTGGCGTTGGATCCGGGGTAGGGAGGGTGATGCGTCAGTGAGTGCTTATCAGTATCAGTATGTGTGTGCGTGTCCATAGTTCAGCTGAGACAGTGTCCTTCGCCCTGCCAGGCTAAGTAAACAGTCTTCCAGCCAACTCAGGTGGCCTTGTAGGGAATGGGAAGGAACAGACTCAACCAAGTTGTTATCAGGGAGTTTTTGTTCTGTTCCAGCCTTGAGCTCTGGCCTTGAGCTCCGGCCTTGAGCCCACAGCTGGCGCCGAAGGGGTAGCCGCATTATGATGGTACTTGAGAATTTCAAGCTGTTTTTAACACTCCGACACTGGTCTCTCAATCTCCCGTTAATAGCTGCGAGCTTCTCCGTGATGTTATTAGCCGTCGATTCTGTGGTCTTGTCACTCTTTTTTGCTCACATAGCAGATTCTGAGACCTCACGACCGCAGCCAAATGCATGTAACTTTAAACAAAGAAAGAAATGAAGAAATACTCTCAGAAATATGGGCTAGGTTTGACATCACCCGTGTTATTGGCAAATATGCACTATTTTGTCTTTGTTCTTGATACTGTGCAGTGTTCTTGTTAATTTGTGTATTTCCTGTTGCGCTATCCAATAGTGTTTGCGATTTTATAGTTCAGTACATCACTTATGGATTCTTGTGATATGTGTCCGCCTCTGTAACCCAGAGCCACTCAAAGTTAGGGCCATTTGTCTGTCTATATGTAGTGGAAGGGCCCGAGGGTTAAAAAATACTGTGCAGTCCTATATAAAGTTGTCTTTGTGTCACTGTTTTGCTGACAAGGTTTTTTGGGACACTTGATGAGATCGAGTCTGTGAAGTGAAAAAAAAAAAGTGTATGATTATCTTGACCGTTTCATATGTCATGCTGTTTCTGCACAGCTAATTCTTCACCCTGTTAAAGCAGCTTGATAAAAGACAGACAGAACTTTAAATCAGAAGTTATGCCCGTTATCTATGGATGACAGAAAAAATACAAATTTTAGGGACATGTTTCATCAGAAATATACTGTATGCTACAAACAAGAAGCTGTTTTTTTGTTTTAAGAAGGGGCCATGACACTTTGTCATGGATGTTATATGGATAACGGAAAAACTACTAATTTTAGGGACATGTTTCATCAGAAATACTGTATGCTACTATCATTCAAACAGACGGCTGTCACAAGATGTCTTGTTAAATATAAGTGAATGAATGTGAGGTCAGAGAATAATGGCCAAACTTCTCTGAGCTGATTGGAAGGTAACAGTAACTCAAATCACCACTTGTTACATCCAAGTGTATGCAGAAGAGCATACCTTGAAGCTTCAGCAGCAAAACATAACACTCAAGACTGCATCTCCTGTCAGCTAAGAACAGGAAACCAAAGCTACATTGAATTCACAAATGCTCACCAAAATTGGACAACAGAAGATCTGAAAAAACATTACCTGATTGAATGGTTCTCAGTTTATACTGCAACATTTGTATGGTAATTAAGGCAGTTCTAAAAGCAAAAGGAGGTCCAGCCCGGTACTAGCAAATTGTACCTATAAAAGTAGCCAATGAGTGTATGTGTAAGGTTACAACTTTTCTCCCAGTCGGTTGTACAAAGTAAGACATGCAAACAAAAACGACTCATATAAATTTACATTTAAAGTCTGATTTCAAATGTCTCAACCCAGCTGCACAGTTAGCTGTAAAAGCTGTTCCAGTGTGTCATCTCTTAAGGCTCCTGGACAAAACTTGGCTTGTGAGCTTCTGCCGTCCACCACCACCTGTACACCACCATCATGTATTCAGATAGCTTTATCACATGCACATACTCATTAAGGCAGGCTCTCGAGAGAAGTGAAAAATGCTAAATATCACGTTGACACAGTAGAACCTGATTATTATTAAAGAGGTATCACACACCTTTTATTTGACCGGATTATAAGACTTTCAGTACAGAAGTCTGTCTACAGAAAAATACAAAAATATACGTTGCTATGAATACTATTCATCCTTGGTTTTTTGTTGTTTTTCACAAACAAATTAAACTGAAAAGCACACATCAAGAAAAATTGCGCTTTGTAGCAACTGAAAATAAAATAAATTCATAATTATAATAAAGGTCAATCAAATGGACCAATATGGCAAGGCCATGATGATCCACTTGGTAAAATAAATCCGCTTGGCATCTTTCTTGGCCTTAAGACAACAATTCTGATGGCTAAAGATCCAAACGGGACACAAAAAAAATAAAAAAACTTTAAAAAATTGCGCAATTATTTACCTGTATATTGTGACAAAACTAAATCATACAATGCCTTGTGAAGCCAACTGCATGATGTCATAGAGTTTGATTATTTATTTTTAGGTCTTTTTGAATTTAACTCTGCAGGTATTCACACTTTTGTTGTCCCACACGTACAAAATCTTTTTGTTGGGATAGTACGACAGCATAGCTAAGATTCCATTACCTGATCTTATGTCAAAACCTGCATCCACAGGACTCTCTTTCTTTAAATCATAGGCATATGTCACCCTTCTGTCTTTGTCATCTGTGAAATACAGCACCCCACACACAATGAAAGCATTTCCTGCTTTAGCTGTCGGGTAGGTGGTGTTTATGACAGACTCTATAGAGAATGTGTCATCGTCGAGCTTTGCGACCAGTGTGCTGTCATCTGCGTTTGAGGCAAAGATGACCCACAGTCCACTTTCATCCACAGCAAACTTGAAGTATGTCTTTGAGTTTCGAAAAAGATAAGTCAGGTTGTGATATCTGGTGTCTGGCATGGTCAGAATCTGCGTTCTCTTCGTTTTCAGACCAAATCTGTAAAAATTTAAAAGATTGACCATTAAATAAATGTTGCAGGCATCAAACACCTCAAGACAGGTGCAGATGGTGCAGCACTTACTTTATAAGTCTGTTTTTTCCGCCGTTGTGGTAGTAAAATGATCCTTTATAAACAACATGGCCACACCCCTGGTAGAACCTCTTGGTGTCTATAGTGTTTTTAGTGTATTGCAATGTTGAAAGGTCCTGATATTCCCACAAATGTCGACCTGGTGACAAAAAGTTCTTGCGTTAAATCCAATCAAATAACTCTCAAAAGTCTGTTATGAAGTGAGAATTCATGGATGTTGTGTAAGTCACCTGAAAAATGATCGGCCATCCAGTACTGATCTTCATCCAGCTGCGACGCGTCTGACATCCAGGCTCCATAGGTGCTTTCCATTTCAGTGGGCTTCTCTGAGCATTTTATGTTTTTAATAATACACTCTAAACAAAAAAAAGCACACACACACACACTTTTGTATTTCAGTAAACTATACAGTAGAAGGTAATTAGATAATGGCATGATTTGAAGCTTAATTAGCAAGTCTCTAACCACTTTCTGTTGATTTGTCACCAGTGGTCACACTGATCTTATTATCAGACCAGAGCTTATTTGAAGAATCTGAAAAAAAAATGAAAGATCATTTTTAATGTAAATATTAATGATGTTTGAGTCATAGCAAGTGATCATTACTTTGTATTTTTGTGTGAGGTGTGAAGTGAAGTGTCAGTATTGAGGTCAAAATGGGACACGTGGCAATTCCTCACCAGTTGTCATGGGTTTATCATTGACGTTTCCACTGTTATTGAAAGTGTCTCTGTTTTTATCCAGTTCTTCAGAAAGTGAACCTTTAAATTGAAAAAAAAAAATGAAAGAGTGTATAGAGATTCTAATGATATTATAGTTTCAAAAACACCATATTAGGCACATACTGGCACCAGGTTGGGCCCTCTTTTTCCTTCACACCTTTGATTTTTTTGGCATAGATTCAACAAGGTATTGTAAACAACACTCAGAGATTTTGGTCCATATTGATATGATAGCAACACACAGTTGCTGCAAATTTGTCAGCTGCATATCCATAATGTGAACCTCCCACCCAACATATCCCAGAGGTGCTCCATTGGATTGAGTTCTGGTGAATGTGGAGCCCATTTGAGGAGTCATGTCAATTAACCAGTTTGCTAGAAGCAGCCATTCAGAAGACGTGTACACTGTGGTCATAAGCACATGGACATGATCAGGATCAATACGCGGGTAGGCCACGGTCTTTAATGATGTTTAACTTGTACTTAGGGGCCCAAAAATCCATGCTGTCACATGGTGTTTACGTAAAATTTTAACCATACCATCCAAATGTTCCAGCAAAAATCAAGACTCCAATATAAATAGGATGAAATATTCCATATAAATAAATAACGCTATGAGAGTAACGAGTGTGTTAGTCTTACCTATAAATCGTGTCACTAATGCCTCTGTAGCATTTCGTATAGCAACATTGAAGGCAACATCTTTATCAGCCTCTTTTAGCTCTAGAAAACAAAGTAGAGTGCTTACTCTCTTGTTTTTTTTTCTCTTTTTTTCATATATTTAGACTTCAGTTTATCTCTAGTGTCTTAATGTTTTACCAGGTTCTATTGTTTTATCTGCATCCTTTTTAGAACCAGGAACAGTAAAAGCATCTCTGGTGTTTTCAGCTGGATGTGGAGTTGGTGTTACTGCAGATACAAAGATACAAGTGAGTTAGTACACGTATAAACAGTATAACCAGAATCAGATACAGTATGGCAGTTTTTTACCTGTTATTGTGCTTGTTTTAATGATGGTTCTCCTGCCATTAAATGTATCACTCTTTATGTTGGCATCACGTGGGGCTGCAGAGTGAAATTGGAGCCACATTCAGAACTTTTATTATGAAAGAAGTAACTTAACCATTCAAAGCATATGATTTCCTACCTATTAATACTCTTACTGGCCCCTCTGTGACATTTGCAGTGTCTGTATCATTCCAGGAGCCCTGGCTGTCATTTTGATCAAAATTTAAGGACTCTGGAAAATTTAAAGAAAAAAATGGCTTTAGCATTTTCTCTTCATGTAGTCAGACTAAGGTTTGTCTCATCTGAGGTTTACCAAGTTCTGTTGTTGCATCTGAAACATTCAAAGCACCTCTGGATTTTTCTGGTGAATGTTCTGTTGGTGATTCTACAAAAAGAAAGAAAACTTTTACTAGAAGAGCTGGCACACCAACTAGAATCAACCAGTCCTTATAAGCTTGAGCTTCTTGTCACTAAATGTAAAAAGTTAAGATATTTAAGGTTTAGTTAAATATTGAACCTTGAGTCAGCATAGCTCCTGATTTTGTCAGCAGCTCAGGCATCATTTTGGATATTTATTCAAGATTAGAGTGAAATGATAAAGTTCAAGAATTTTATATAAATAATAACCAAAGTCAAATAGGATATTTCATAATCCAAAGCAATGATTTCATACCTGTTAACAGCATTACTGGTCCTTTAGTTTCTGTGTCATTCAAGGTCCCCTGGCTTTCATCGTCATCAAATGTTACTGGTTCTATGATTTTAAAAAATAAGTATTAGGTTGAATTTTGTTTTTTAATATATTCAAACTTATGTTTGCCTTTGCAGTCTTGGTTGATTTACCAGTTTTCACTTTCATGCTCAGATGTTTCTCAGATTCAGAGACATTCAAAGCATCTGTGGTGGCTTTCTGAAGAGGATACGCTGTTGGTGATTCTTCAGGAAGAAACACAAGATGTAACTACAATTTCTGCTGCACACATTAGATTTGTATACAAGTAATATATAAAAATTGGTTTCTCACTCCTGGTTAAATCTCACTGTTCATGAGATTAAAAAAAATAAAAAGCCTAAACTATATATTTTCATAATTAATGATGTTTAAGAGATAAAGCTCTTACCACCCCAAAACATTTACTACAGAAACATAAAACAGCACTGAACTTTAAACAGCTTGAATTTACCAGTTTGCAGAGTTGCTTTAATGAATGTTTAAATCTGCATCAGGTGGAGCTGTGAAAAGAAGACAACAAAGTTCAACACGTCTTCTTTGCATACCAAGCACAACAAGAGGAGGACATGCAGTTAATAACTCAAAGCACAAGGTTTATTACCTGGTAATAATTGTACTGGTCCATTTGTAACATTTTCAGTGTTGGCATCATTAAAGTTGTTCATAAATGGTTTTGTGTCTAGAGGAATTAAAATGTTGTCATTAATCAGTCCTGGTGAATTTTTTGTGTTGGATTTTTGTGTCAGAAGGGTTACAAATGTTCATACCTCCTCTGGTGTTTGTAGTGATGGGATTTCCGGCTCTTTTTAGAGATCCGGCTCTTTCGGTTGGGCTCACTAAAAAGAGCCGGCTCCTTCGGCTCTTTCCCGGCTCTTCAGGTTGTTTTGTTGCTTTAATTAATTTATTATTAACAATAATATAAAATTATGCACAAAAGGAATTACTAACGTAAAAACAAGTGGTTTTATTTATATATGTTTATATATAAATATATGCGGTGGCCCCTAGAGACAAAACACGTACAAACTCCAAAACACATTTCTAGCATGAACTGAACTTCCAAAGCAGAGCTACTAGATCACTTAAATTACACAATTGAAAGCATGTGTGTATTGTTTGTGTATTTATACACAGGCACTCATATATATATTCAAATAATTTAAAAAAAAGTTCATTTACCTGTTATTACCACACACCAAATCCGGTCATTGGTACTTGCTGGCTTGTGTAGCCACAAGATAACAAAGGCTCAACACTGCGCCCAGCATCCTGGAGCACTTCTGTTGTTCTTTTGTACGTGTTTTGAGTTTTTATGTGCTTCTGAGTTTTTATATGCTTCTGAGTTTTTGCGTGCTTCGGAGTTTGTACGTGTTTTTACGTGTTTTGGAGTTTTTACGTGTTTTGGAGTTTGTACGTGTTTTTACGTGTTTTGGAGTTTGTACATGCTTCAGAGTTCGTACGTGATTTGAAGTTTGTATGTGCTTTGTCTCTAGGGGCCACCGTAAATATACTTTTATTTATTCACTCCACATAAAATGTAATAAATAAATCATCTAATACAAAAATCAACTATTCACATTTCAAGTTTTAACTATTTACATTTTCAGCTTTTTCCTTTCACAAATTTAAAGTGAAAAGAACACAAAACACTGCAAACCACAACACAATTAAATATAAATTATAATATGAAAACTAAAAGAACATGCATATTCTCTGTCATATGGACCTGCATGAATAAACTTTCTCAATCCTTTATCATCTGCAACCGAAAATAGTTGTGGATGATTACTATACCTTTCTAATGTTGTTGTCCCTGCCTCTCTTTCTCTCTCTCTGGCTCTGTTCCTGTGCTACTGAGTGTAACTACCGCCCCTCCCCCCTCTGCCCAGCGTAAAGCACAAGGCTCGTGTGCGGAGTGAAACGGAAAAAAGTGCGAGAGAGGGTGAGAGAAAGAAGAAAAAAAAAAAAACCACGTGACGGCTCGCGATAAGGAGCCGGCTCGCGTCGTTCACGTCAAAGAGCCGGCTCTAAGAGCCATTTCGTTCGCGAACGACCCATCACTAGGTGTTTGCAGCTGGACCATCTGTTGGTGATTCTTCAGTAAGAAAGAGAAGTTGGTCCACACATTAGAAAAATTATATATTCGAATAGTTAATTGCTTCAATTTGGAGCTCAACTTCATACTCTGCTGCAAGTATTTTAAACAGTTTTTCATTCTTAGGAAAAATTTAATTTGCAGTTTATTTTAATCCCAAAATTGGAAAAATCTTTTTGCATAGAAGTTAAAATCAAGTTAAACACTGCAGACATGATTAAGTTGCTTAAATAAATAGAGCTCAATAACATAGAATACAGTATGATCACATTAGGATTAAAAACAAGTGTTAAAAAACAATCTGAAAGCAAATGAAGTAAAATAAGTATGGATTAAAAATATGAAGTGATAATATAATACTATATAACTAAGGTAAGTATTCAAAGACATTTAAAAGATATTAGTGCACAGTCTGTTAGTCAGTTGTAACGTCAGCTTGTGAATGATTGTGAACGAATAAAGTATCTGCAGCCAGTAAAACTAATCAAACCAAGTATGAGCCCGTACACTCACAACAGGAGCATTTTTAAAACACACCAGTTTTTACTGTTGTTCACTGACAGTTCTGCTGCCCTTAAATGCAGCACTGTTTAGATCTGCATCACTGGGGTCTATACAGTGAAAGCACTTCTAAAGTGACAGAAAGAGGATGTTTTAGAGTTTAATACCTGTTAATTTTCCTGCTGCCTCTGTGATGACTTCAGGGTTTCTAAGAATTGCTGTGCTGTAGCTGTAATCTTCATAAAACGGTGAACGGTCTAGAATGGGGTTTTTTTTTTGGGGGGGGGTTTAAACTGTGTGGTTTAAATACATTTTTCATATATTCAAATTTAGTTTTTTTGATCATTTACCTGATTCTGTCTTATTGTCCAGTTTCTCAGAGTCAGAGACATTCAAAGCATCTATGAGGTTTTCAGATGGATGTGCTGTTGGTGATTCTGCAGAAGGAACGTAGAAGATGTCACTGGATGATTGGACACACAATTTATCATAATTGTAGAAGAAACTTGCTGGTTTATTACAAACAGCAAGCGATCTTTATGTCATATCGTGTGTAATTTAAAATCACATAATTCACCAGTTTTTGTGTCTCCAGTTATTAGGTGATCGTAAATGTATCGTTTGCAGAAATATAAATGAATTTGTTAACGTCAGTTCTAAAACATTCAGCCGTCTCTTAAATATCTTAGCAGAGACACTCTGACACTCAAATGGTTTCTTACCAGCTTTCAAATATGTGTCTAAAGTTTCATCAGAGAGAGCTTTTCCAGCATCATGCGGCTCACCTGGTGTTGGTAACACCGTGGAATCAAAGAGGAAATCCAATACAATGAGTATAGTGTGAAATAAGATTTGTGTGTACAATGAATGAGTACCAATATTAACCTGCTAATAAATTCATTGGTGCTTCTGTAACATTTTCTGGGTCGATTTCAGTCAGGTTGTCACTTTGGTAATCTGGGTGAGGTGATATCCAGTCTGCAGAAAAGAAACATGATCAGCATAACCATAAATGTTTTAAATGAATCCAGATACACTATTATACTGTATATGTGGCCAAAGTTTCAAATCCTTTTGAGCCAAAATGGAAATAAGCACAAAAGATCACATTTAAGGTTTAACTGAGTGGGAAATGCAATTATTCAACCATTTTTATTTGTGTTCTGAAGTGATGTGGCAATACTGATAGCAAGCACAGCAGACATTTTCTTACCACTTTCCACTGTAGTAACAGTAACATTTCTGAAGGAGTCGCTGTTGTTGTCTAAGGCTACACTCAGCAGGCCTGGAGGGAAAAAGAGGACATTTACAATTCTGCAGCATTTTCAGTTGTGACACAAAAAACAAATGATCGTGGCTGCGCTGACTGTTGTTGAAGTTCAGCACTTCTCACCTGCTGATGATTGGGACCTCTCACCTGCTGGGACCTCTGTGACATTTTCTTCTTTGGTATTGTTGAAGGCGTCTTGACTGTGGTTTGGATAAAAAGAACCAAAATCTAGGAAATAAAAGATGTTGAGTTTGATGCTTTTTCTTAGTCAAATATTAGTCTGCCAAACAAGACTTCTTATCGCTCAGAGTGGTAACTAACCTAATTTTATATTTGTGCCACTAACATTCAAAACATTAGTTGTGTTATCAGCTGGACGTGGTGTCGGTGATTCTGTGAAGAAGAAAAAAAGAGACATAAATTGCTACCCTTATCTCAGAGCAGTTACGAAGCACACACCATCCATAACATCCACCCATACAGACATACATATATACTTTGCAACTTGTTGTTTTCTGTGTTGTTTTATTAGCTATTAATTTTAACCCTGTGAGGTCTAAGTCATCATCAGTGATCACCCTGACTCTAACTCTAAACAATCAGAAGATGGATGAACAGTTGTCGATCAGGCTAATGGACACCTCTATGACCAGTGTGTTGGGAACTTATCTTTAAGATCAACATGACTGAAACTAAGAGACTAAATAAAATAGAGACAAATCCAGACAATCAAAGAGTTTCAATTAAAATCTAAATAACAGTCTTAAATCTTGTTTCTGTAGGAGAATGGCTTCTGTGCTTTTAAAATCTCGGCATTAATCATGCCTTTGACCAGTCTGATTTGTGAGGAGAGACGTGAAAAGATTTTACTTTGTGGTAAAACAACTAGAACTGTGAATGTTACTCTGCTTAATATCAGTGGATAAACAAGTGATTTTTAACTACTACTGAAATCGAATATAGAGTGAACAAAAGCAACTGAACACTCTTCAGGTCAGCCAACACTGTTTTTTTAATAATCACACAGCTTCTCATATCATGTTTGCGGTCCTTGGTCCACTGGCTCATTGTGGCATTATTCCTACCTCTCCATGCGTAAATTTGACGACTACTTCCTTCAGTAATCTTGTTTTTCATGTCACTGGAACAACAGGTGGAGCAGGGTGGACCAGGTGGACCAGGAAGACCTTTATGTACACAGATTATTAAAAATATGATGTGCAGAACAGACCAAATTAACAATACTGCTAATATAGACTCTTTAATATTAACCCAATTATATTTATATAGTGAAAAGTCAAAACATAAGTCATCTCAGAGTATTTTTACACTGTAAGGCTAAGACTTCACGTGGTGGGTGGGTGGGGGCTCTGATTCTATATTCATTTTGAATGTTACCAGCCAAAGAAGCTGTTATCAGTTATTGCCACTTTCATAAATATCACTGGATGCATAAATATGAGGTGAATGACTTTAACATGAAGAAAGATCAGCCTGGGCCACACTTATGAAGAGCACACATCAGCCTTGACTGGTTGGGTTAAAGGGAGAGAGGAGAAAATAGGTCAAGGAGACAATTAAAACAAAGAAGGTTGGCTGAGTCAGAAATGTTCAGCTCCAGAGCCAGAGACCTCTGCTGAAAGCACAGGGAGGTAATGGCATGCAATGTTCATGGCCCTTTGAAGTCTGTGGAGTAAAAGAGAGAAGAGTAGAGGAAAGGTGCTCGATGCGTCATGGGAGGTTCCTCTGACGCAGCAGCATAACTAAGTGATGGTTCAGGGTCACCTGATTCAGCCCTAACTACAGGCTTTATCAAAAATGACCGTTTTAAAACTAATCTTAAAAGTAGAGATGGTGTCTGCCTCACAAACCCAAACTGGGAGCTGGTTTCAAATGAGAGCAGCATGATATCTGAAGGCTCTGCCTCCCACTGAAATGCTGAAAATGTGAGGATCAGAAGTAAGTCTGCCCTCTGGTGCTATCTACAGAATATGGTACCATGAGATCTATAACATGTGTCAGAGTGTGATTAAGCAGGACTGCAATTCGGTTCTAGATTTAACAGGAAACAAATGAAAGGGCCTTATTATGACAGAAATATCACCTCTCTCTACTCCCTGTAAGTACTCTTGCTGCAGAGTTTTAGAACAGCTGCATCCTGTTATAAGGTGTATGGTAAGTACAGAAGTCTGGCACAGAAGTAACAAAAACAATAAAAGAAAAAGGAATGCTGTGATGTGGGCTACCCTATTAACTGTTCATATAAGACTGTTTTAACCTTAGTAATGACTTGTGATGCCTCAAATGTATTCAGTTCAGTTACATTTTATTAAACCACAACGACCACAATAAAGGTGCTTTATATTGTAAGGTAAAGATGCTACAATAACAGAGAAAAAGCCACAAAAATCAGGTGATATGAGCAAGCACTTGGGGACAGTGGGAAAGAAAAACTACTACCAGGGAGTGGCAGCCTCTGCCATGACTGGTTTGGGAGTGAGTGAAGGGAAACAGGACACAAGACATATTAAAGGTGTGTTTTTTGATGGAAATTAGAACACTGGGGTTTTCAGGTAGCCCTAGTGAGCTGTATGGGCAGAGATTACCCTCATTAACATTTGATGCACACCCAGTTATTTTGTTCTGGAAGCAGGCCTGAAAAATGACAAAAGCTACTCAGTTTAGAAAAGAGAAGTAAGGATTAGCCCTACTTAGCATAAATTTAACACATCACAAAAAGACTGAAGAGTTGAAGGAAGGAAAAGGAACCAATAACAGTTAACAGTCTTTTAAGGTAATGTCAGGCTCCCTGAGTATTCATCAAGAGCTTCATGTTAGTTCAAAAACCTAAATTTCTTCAGAATCTCAGATTAATCTCAGAGTTTAAGCCATGCAGAGTTGGTAAAAAGATACAGTGAATGAGTGAAAGTTAAAAAAAAACAAAAAAACATTGCCCACACTGCAATTTTCAGTTTCAAAACAACAAAAATACTATAATTTGGGCTAATCAGTGCTAATCAGTGCAGCAAACACTTATCCCACTGCAGTAAACAGCTATGTGGCAGCTAAATACAAGTTTCTTGCAGACAGTGAGTGGGATGCTCGTGTTGTGCAATCACAGCAGGAACAATGAAAGACTGTTTGAAATGCACGAGAAGCTTCTGTTCTGCAAATTTGGTTGTTTTCATACAGCTTTTCGCTGAATGGGAGAGGAGATGGGTTCTCAGATTTCTTAGACATATAAAAGTTCTCACCTTTTCTACCTCGTCTCCCCTCTGGCCCCGGTGGACCTGGGGGTCCAGGTGAACCAGGTTTACCTGACAGAACAAAAACACTTTGTAATGCAGTAGGAATTTAGCATAATTTGAGTAAATTTACTCAGTAAATTTAAATTTCAGTTTTTACCTGGGGGTCCAGGTGGGCCTGGAAAGAAAAAAACAATTCACATATTTAAAAAAAACAACAACAACAACTATGGGCAGTAAATACGCAAATGAAAACAGTGGAGATGCATGTTTTTATGATGTGCACCTGTTAAACAAATTCCTTTGGAGCTCCTGCACATGTCTGTGAAGGCTTTGACCTGAAATAAAGAAAAAGACAGGCATGAGGAAAGTTTTGATTTAGGTGTAAGTTAACCACATATAGGGCCATTTGAGTTAGGCCCTGTTAACACAGAAAGGACAGGGTGTTTTCTAAAGGTCTATATTTTAATCTTCAAATCAAATCAAATCACTTTTTATTGTCACATCACATGTGCAGGCACACTGGCACAGCACATGCGAGTGAAATTCTTGTGTGTGAGCCCCACAAGCAACAGAGATGTGCAAACACAACAACACAAACGAGCAAAATACAAGAATGGCCAACCTGAAACTAATAAATATATGTACAATATATAATAGTGTATGCATTTCTGGATGTGTATACTAAATATTTTCCTACGTGTGTGTGTGTGTGTGTGTGTGTGTGTGTGTGTGTGTGTGTGTGTGTGTGTGTGTGTGTGTGTACACATTTTTACAAATTAAATAGTAAAAAATAAAATAAAATAATAATAATAATAATAATAATAATAAAATATATAAAATATACAGAGTTGAATATGTGCAAAACAAGTGGCATTTATATACAGTGTGGAGTGCATAATGTTGAAGTTCCAGTAGTGAAGCTGAGGTGTCTATGACGTGTTCAGCAGTCGAATGGGGCGCGGGGGAGGGCTTTGTACGCATCCCGGAAAGAGGTGTAACAGTGGTCGAGTTGCCGGTTTCCACGTGTGTTGAAAAGGATGTGTTGATGGAGTTTTGGTGAGACTTTCTTCAGGTTTCCCTTATTAAAGTCTCCGGCTGTGATAAACGCTGCCTCTAGGTGTGCGGTTTCCTCGCTGCTGATCGCGCTGTACAGTTCCCTGAGTGCACGGTCAGTGTCGGCTTGTGGGGGAATGTAAACAGCCGTAATAATCACTGCTGTAAATTCCCTCGGTAGCCAGAATGGCCGGCACTTAATCATCAGGTACTCCAGGTCCGGTGAGCAGAAGGATTTGACCGGGTGCACGTTCGCATAATCACACCAGCTGTTGTTGATCATGAAACACACACCACCGCCTCTGCTTTTCCCAGTAAGATCCTGTGACCTGTCCGCGCGGTGCACAGAGAACCCCGGCAGTTGTATTGCGGAGTCCGGTACTTTGTCCGATAGCCAGGTTTCTGTGAGGCAGATCACGCAGCAGTCCCGCATCTCTCGCTGGAATGAGATCCGTGCCCGAAGCTCGCACAGCTTGTTCTCCAGAGACTGCATATTAGCCAGTAATAAACTGGGTAACGGTGGTCTGTAAGTGCGCCGTCTCAGTCGAACCAGAACGCCAGATCTTCTCCCTGACCTTCTCCCTCTCCTAATCTTTTGCCATGTTCAGTGTTTATTCCCAAAATCCAGCAAAAGAATCATTCTCGTTAACAGAGCTGAAGCAGTTAGAGTATAACAACAACAACAACTAAAATTCCCTAAAATTTTCTCACTTCTTAAATGTCTGCTGTTCTTTTAATCTTTAGGCTTTAGATGAAACAAACTGAAAGTGAAGATTAATTGTTAATAAAAACAATGATACTGCCCCCGGCTCCCTCACAAAATATACAGTAGCACGGCTTTGAAGAAATGCCAGTTTTGTAGTGGAAGAAAGTGGAGCCGAGGGAGGAGCAGTCACTCTTCACAGCACAAAGTACTTTTCCAGGAAGCACTCAAGACTAGAAATTTGTTAATGGTTACAACAGACTCCTGGATTTCTTAGATTGCAAGGAGATGCCTCACGTGATCGTATTAAAGACACCAAACTGTGGAAAAATAAAAAAATTCAGTTTTTGTCATAATAGAGTAAACAACTTTTAGCATTAGTATTCACAGTCCTACAGAAACATCCAAGCATGCTGATGTCTTACAGGAACCATAGAGTATGTCATGAGCATCAGCATATCCTTCTGATCTTCGCTTTGCATTGGATCTTCTTCCTGGTTTCTCCTGCGGCGGTGGAGCTTCCTGAACTCTCGGGCCTCTCCGGGGTCGATGGGCAGGATTCCCGTCCGCAACCTGCAGCTCTCTGTCAGCTCCTGCATCTGGGACTCCAGCCTAAACAGCTCATCTGCCAACTCTTTCTGCCGAAACAGCAGAAACACTAAACCTGCCGTGCTCAGGAGCAGCAGCACGCACATCCCCACCAGCAACACTTTCCACATGGGAGAAACAACACTTCCCTCTTTCATGTTTGTGCCCCGTTCCTTGGTCCTCGCTGCACAGTGATCCGGGCTGTGTAATTCAGAAGCACATACAGCACATTTCTGAACACCTGCCAGCAGATGACACGTCAGAGAGAAACCACAGTAGAGCAGTTGGAGAGGAATAAACATGTCAAAATCTGCCTGGAACTACAGCGAGAGAGAGAGACACGTGATGCATTGCATAATAACAAACATCTGCAAGACTGCTGAAATCTGTAGGCTTGCATGATTTAAATGCAGCTAATGGACATATTTCCAGAATGACACATCCTCCAGACAGCATAGGGCTTCCCATCATTCTGGTGCCTGTTTTCCTCAGCATTTTCACTAGCTTGTCCTACTCAAAATTACATGGAAGTGGAATAAATAAGCTTCGAACAAGGGACACATTGTTGGGATCTACAAAAGAACTTTCAGAGAGCTTTCAGCAAATGTCTGCGAGTGTGCGGATGTACATGTGTGGGTGTCAGAATATCCTTTTTATGAAAGGGTTTTGTTTTTTTCTATTCATTGCAATATGAATTTCGAAATTGAAAGTTTCGTAAATAGTCAATGTTACATTTTTTTTGATTGATTTTTGATTTGCTGCTTTTTCGGGGGTGGGGGGAAGAGGTCATTGTAGCTTCTGTTGCTAATTTCAGAGCAAGACCAACACATCCACCCCTAGATGTGTGGCCAGTATCTTTAAACAGGGCATACCAGCTATTCACAGGTACCAAGCATGAAAGCCAGCTCATTCACAAAAGCTTTCCATGAACAGTGTTTTTTCCTTTCAACTTTGCAACTATGATTTCTTACACTGGACTAACTAACATGCAATCAATCAATCACTTTGACAGCACTTTTAGATTAAATTATTAAAACTGAGCTTTTAAGAATATAATTATGACATTTTTTAATTCTTCTTTTCCCTTTCTGAACTCCTGAGTAAGTCCTTGTCTCCTTTGACACAGGTCAGTCTGACCCAGCTAATTAATTTCCCTTTCAAAAGCCTCCCGGGTTGATGAATTGGACAGTGGGGTTTCTCTGGGTGCAACAAAGCTAAATGTGAAGTAAGCCCATCTAAACACTAATGCAGAGCACAACCAGTGAAAGCCTTGCAGGTTCTCCATTCTTATGAATAAAAAGCACCTCCTTTGTTCTGCTGGAAACTGCTTTGTGGTTCAGATATGCACTGCTGTGTCTCAGGTTCACTTCTCTGCCATGGTGCTTGTAACCCTTAAGTGACCACGTCTCCAGGCAACTGTTAAAGTGAAAGCTCAGCCAAGGGATTTATAAACACTTGAAACACTGGATTTATATATATATATATATATATATATATATATATATATATATATATATTTTGTATTTGGACCTTGAATTGAGACACTGTGTTTGATATTAGACTTTAATATTAAATCAGTTTCTGCGTCTGGCATCTTGCTTATTTAGTCTATTTATTTATAATGAGCTCACATTTCGCTGCTCATCAGTGTCCTTCTGATGCAGTCTGACAGCAGCAAATTCATGTTGTTCAATTTTCTGCAGCACAGTGATGAAAAACTTAAGATACATGACAAAATACTGTAATTGTAAAATAACTATAAAGGTATAAATAGTTTAGAAAATATCAAAGACAATAAGTAAGATAAGGGCTAATGACCCTATAATTGTAAGATAACAGAGATCATCATGAAAAAAAATCATAATGATGTCTGTAATTACTGTATATTTGATGCTAACTACTTCAGTAATACAAACAGTTAATGATAAAGGTTGATGTGGGTGTATTTTGATTTGAATGTGGCTCAGTGCTATGTTACGTCCTAGACTGAAGGACAGACTCCACAGGAGATAAGAGAGGAGGAAACCCACAGGTTGATCATCTTCTGTTTAGTCTGCTGCAGACTGCAAACACAGTGCTCCATTGGGTGTACCTGGCTAGAGAAATGCAGAGGATGCTGCCGGTAGAGGAGCTCATCGCTGGCCCCATGGTGGCTGATAGAGCGTCAGAAGTCACTGCTGTCCTGCTACTTCTGCTGCTGTTGCTGCTGCTTTTCACCACCTGGAGACAAAGAAAACAGTCACACATACCAGGTAGGCACTAATATATATATATATATATATATATATGTATATATATAAATAAATGGTAAATGGCCTGTATTTGTATAGCGCTTTACTCAGTCCCTAAGGACCCCAAAGCGCTTTACACTACATTCAGTCATTCACCCATTCACACACACATTCACACACTGGCAATGGCAAGCTACATTGTAGCCACAGCTGCCCTGGGGCGCACTGACAGAGTGCGCCCCAGGGAGCCTTTAATTAATATGGTATATAAATACTTATAGTTAGTACAGTAATTACAGTAATTACACTCTAAATACACTTCAAATTACAATTAAAAAATCTTTACCTTATTTATCAAATCCTATTATTCATCCTAAATAACTCTATGTATATATATATATATATATATATATATATGTATATATATATATACATACACATAGAGTTATATATACTATATACTATAAGTATTTATATACCATATTAATTAAAGGCTCCAAAGTGTCTTTTTATATCATTTAGCCATCCACTGCGAAGGAATCAGATACAGAGTAAAGTCAGCAAGCATCTAATGACAAAGAAAGGGAAACCCTCATATACACAGAAGGTCTGCATCAATGACAAAACAAGGTTTACTCAACCATCACAGAGCGTGTTCCTTGTCTATTAAAACTATCACAAACAGTCTCTGTTTTGCAGCTCCAGGTGCAAATTCCTGTATACTGATGAAAATGGTTCATGCAGAAGTCAAATAACAGTTACACACAGAACAAAGAGTGCCGTCCTTACTTGCCACTCTCCTATATACTAAGATCAGAGCCTGGCAGCTATCCCAAAAAAATACACTATCTTTCTCAAATTAAACTCAACAGACAAGGTTCTTGCTAATTTGCAGTAGAAGTGGGAGTCTACTATCATAACCTATTTCTCTCTGTCAGGCCCTTCCTTCTTAGCAGGACTCGGTCCCATTCTCTCCTACAGCAGGTTCATCTGGTCTGGGATTGGAACAGCGTGTAACTACTACAACAACAAATATGGGAGCATTGTGCGGGTGTGGATAAACGGAGAGGAGACCCTGATTTTGAGCAGGCAAGTGGGTTGTTTTTTTTGTTTTTGTTTTTTAGAGTAAACCGAACTTGTTTTACAGTAAATTTTCAGATAAAGGTAAAGCCTGGTTTCTTCTGCAGGTCCTCTGAAGTGTACCACGTTTTGAGGAGTGCCCACTACACCTCCAGATTTGGGAGCAAAAAAGGACTCGAGTGCATCGGCATGTACGGAAATGGTATCATTTTCAACAGTGATGTCCTGCTTTGGAAAAAAGTGAGAACATATTTTTCTAAAGGTGAGCGATTACCACACACTGACAGCACATACTGTGGTTAGACTATTGCTTTCTTGAACTGTGGAGCTACTGAATGTTACTGTGCAGCTCTGACTGGACCCGGCCTGCAGAGGACCGTAGGAATCGGTGTGAGCTCCACAGCCAAACACCTGGACAACTTACAGGATATGACTGACCCCTCTGGACATGTGGATACTCTCAGTCTCCTGAGAGCCATCATTTTGGACATCTCCAACAGGCTGTTCCTAGGAGTGCCGTTAAATGGTCAATTGCGTGTTTACTGCACATAGATTCCTAAAACCGCATACTATCTGCAAGAAATTGTGACGCATGAGCTCTGGCGCTGCATCTATTGATTTTTTGTTGTTGTTGTTGTTGTTGTTCTTTTTAATAATTCAGAGAAAGAATTCTTGATGAAAATTGACAACTACTTTGAGACCTGGCAGACAGTTCTAATAAAACCAGATATATTCTTCAAGGTTGGATGGCTGTACAACAAGCATAAGAGAGCAGCGTAAGACACCTCATCTCACAGTAAGTCAGTATTGTGGTTTGCGATTTCTTCAACCTAATGTTTGTGTTGCTTTTTGTGCCAACAGACAGGAGCTGCAAGATGCGATAGAGAGCCTGCTTGAAGTTAAGAAAAAGATGATTCATGAAGCCGAGAAACTGGACGACGAGCTCGACTTTGCAACAGAGCTCATCTTTGCCCAGGTCGGTCTCTTTGGAGGGATTTTTGTCGTCCCCCCAATTGTCTTTTCTTATTCCCGTCTGTTGTGTTTAACAGAACTACGGAGAGCTATCAGCAGATAATGTCAGGCAGTGTGTGCTAGAGATGGTAATCGCAGCCCCCGACATACTTTCCATCAGCCTCTACTTCATGCTGATGCTGCTGAAACAGAGCCCGGACATAGAGCTGCAGCTAGTGGAGGAGATGAACACCGTCTTGAGTTAGTGCAGCTTTACAGTGTTTCCAATATTCCATATTCACAGTTTCACTCTGGTGAGTAGAAGTATTCTGACACATCTTTCATTTTCAGATGAAAAAGACGTGGAAAATATCGATTACCAAAGTCTGAAAGTGATGGAGAGCTTCATCAACGAGTCTTTGAGGTTTCATCCTGTGGTCGATTTCACAATGAGGAAAGCTCTGGAGGACAACGACATCGCAGGTACAAAAATCAAGAAAGGCACCAACATCATTCTCAACATTGGCCTCATGCACAAAACCGAATTCTTCCCCAAGCCTAAAGAGTTCAACCTCACGAACTTTGAAAAAACGGTAAGTGAGCAGAGTTTAGTTCAGCAATAAATGTTTAATGGTTTAAACTAAAAAAAAAAACATGCACACACACACACACACACACATCTGAGTCTTTGCTTTCTCTCTTTGGCAGGTACCCAATCGTTACTTCCAGCCCTTTGGCTGCGGGCCTCGTTCCTGTGTGGGCAAACACATCGCCATGGTGATGATGAAGGCCATCCTGGTCACTCTCCTGTCTCGGTACACTGTGTGTCCTCGTCAAGGCTGCACGTTCAACAGCATCAAGCAGACCAACAACCTGTCACAGCAGCCAGTGAACGACGAGCACATCCTGGCCATGCGCTTCATCCCACGAATGACATAACCCCACAATATCAAGCTGCGAAACATAACGGCGCTTTTTACACTTCAGATGAAAACATCTTGAAATGGGTTTAAAGGCCTTAATGAAGTCCTGTACTAGGAAATACTCACAGTAAATTTGTATTAACAGCACATGTACTCCAAATTAAACTTTACTAATCTTTAACAAAGTACACTTGTTAAGTATAGATTTCTGATTAATGTTTTGACAGTGTACACAGCTCATACATTTAATAAAGATGCATTTACAATGATTGAAATAACTGAAGAAAAAAATCACATGCAGAGGAGCAATGGTTCTGTATTTACATTAGTTTTATTTGTATTATGTTTTCAGTTTGATATCAGTTTCTTCTCATCTCATTTAGCATCTGTTGTTTTGTAAGTGGGTCACCCAAACATTACATTACTACAGGAGCTGCTCAGCTACAGAATCTCACGCTATGAAGCTTTCTCAAAATTTCTCAAACTACAGTAAACTGTTGCAATGGTGGCACAGTGATTGGTCCTGAGTTCAACTCCACCACCTGGCTTGGGCATGATCTCTCCGGGTACTCAGTGTAGTCTCATTTTTGGCTGTGTTGACAAATTTGGTCAAATTAACTTGAGACTTTTTACTCTGTGGTTTTGTAATTACCCAACATTATGCCTGATTTTTAAAAAAGGTTTTTTAGTTTATATAACTAAAAATAAAGCTATAGAAAAAGTACATTATGGCTAAGAACAATAACCCTTTTCATGAATGATTTACCGTAAATAAAATCTGCATTTACTTTGCCTTTGTGGGTATTTCTATGTTATATAATCAGTGTAGAAATATGCTATAATGCTGTATATACTTCAGCTTCACCATGCAAACAACTTCACATAAAAAAGCTCATTTTAAATATTCATTTTCATTATTGTGCAGAATCAGTAGTTCATATAAATTTTCGTATTATTACTTCCTGTTTCACACCCAATACATGTGTTAATAAGCATAAACTCCATGAGAGCCTCAATTTATTAAATAACCAATGAGTCAAAGTCAAAGGGTCATTTTCACATGTTGAATTTATTCATAAGTTAACTGAATGTAATGACAGGCACTCCAAGAAACAAGGATGTTTTTTTTCCTCTGTACCACAGGCACAAATCAAACATGCCGTACTGGCATTAAAACATAAGGCGTAGGGTTAAAACTGAGTATTAGAGACACTGTTAGCATCACACTGTGCTTCAAACCAGCACACAGGCATAGAAGAAACGCAGAAAGCAAACTTTCCCTTCAGGCTGAATTACTTAAAACAAGCCAAAACATGTCAAAGAAACATACAGGTGTAATCTGGCACAGACCAGTCAAACAGCACATGAAGAACAATGGTTCCCTTTCTTTCAGTGAAATGCATGTAAACATTTTGTAAGAATATAAACGCATAAATATGTTCTTTTAATACTGCAGTCATACAAAAATATAACAACCCTTAACATCCACCTAATGAGAAACATGAGTGCTTAAATAATCAGTCCATACCGTCCAAGACAGACCGCTCACTGTACGTGTCAGAAAGAAAAAAGGGGAAGTTCACGTCAGCCGCGAGCAGGCCAACTGGATATTTTACAAATATTTACAACACTTTAAATTTCATGAATATGCCAAACATGACCGATCAAATGCTTCAATTTCTTATTAACCTCCACGTGGAGTCGTTGTCAGTATCGTCCTGTGCTTTTTCAATAAAGGAGCAAAAGAGCTGCAAATAAAATGAACTAGTGCAAATATACTGTGCGCTCATCCATTCAAGAGACTAAATCAAAATCAGAGGACAAGCTGCTGATTCTTGGAAAATAATCAAACACTGCACTTCTGTTTAGCATCTCATGAGACAAGTCTGTAAAAAGTGAACAAGAGAGCATCTTTCTTCAGTTTTATTTGCATTTCAGCCTGCTGTTATTATGGTGAAAGTCAAAAAAAAATTAAAAGTGTAGCAATTCTGTAAATCCGAGGTTCAGTTGTAAGCAGGAAAAGGTGGTTGGGCTGGTTTTACCATGAGATTTATCGCTAGATCATGATTAGATCAAGTAGAAATAATCTCCATTAAGCGTCTTTAAATATTAAAGCTAGCATGCTTTACATTTACTGGGCATTAGCCATCACAGCTCAATAGGGCTAATATGTTAAAGGTGTAGAATGTATATAGTGGTGCTGCTAATTTTGAAACCGCAACGTTTGCATTTTATCAGCCACCGTGCTGGTCTTTTGGAGAGAGAAGCAATCAATCAGCCTCAAGGGGCCATTTTTGGTTAGTGCTGCATATTTAGCAACCATGCTTGGCTAACGAACTAATAGAAAGTGGCTTAGTGATGACATGATCCTTCAGTTTCTCTGCCGTGGCCGTCATGTAATCCTTCTGATTTGTCTGTGGTTATTCATACACTGAAGTTGCTACACTATCTTTTCTTCAATGCATCTGTTGTAAATGTGAAAGTGGAAGAGGGACAAGTGACTGTGGACTTACTCGCTCCACTGTTATGATTGTTGTAGCCTAGAAAATGTATTTCAGATCACAAAAAATATATATCTTCTCTCTGGTGTACAGGAAAAAGAAACAACTGAGAACTTCATTATTTTACACTTTGAGAATTTTCTGTTATACAAAGCATACCATCAGAATTTAACCAGGAAGAAGGCTTCAATTGTTTAGTGATTATGGAGCTCTTTCACGACTAAAAGGCAATAATGAAACACCCACAGATGATTAAACACCATCATTTGACCCTGAGCTTTTAACCTGCCATGTCTTTCAATGAGTTATAGTTCTGCCAAATAAATAAAACCAAATCTTACTAAATAACTTTGAGTGAAATTCATAAAGACCGCAAAATAAAGATCAAAAGCCACAACAGCAGGTTTCTCCTTTTCTGTTCAGCACTTCAGCTCTGTGTACCTTCCTCTTCAGTGAGGGTCTAGTGGGTTTAGTTCCTCAGTGGTTTCAGTGGTGGTGAGTGGTGCTGCAGCTCTGAGTCTCAGAGGCTCTGTAAAGCTCTCTGGCAGTGGTAGATCAGGCAGTCGGGCAGGTCGGGCACCGGCGACCGCAGCCAGACAGCCAGCCAGCCGGCATTCACCCGGCAATGCATCAGACACGGCAGATCCTGAAGGAGACGGCAAGCTACGATTCCTTCCATGCCTGAGCAGAAAACAATGAAGGTTACTCAGCAAAAAGTATAGGACACATTAATATCTATGTCTCCTTTTCTATATGCAATTTTAAAATCTTCTTCTTCTTCCCCTTTGTAATGCTGTTTATTGGTACCGCCGTGTTATTTAATGATGTTCATGCTGCATACAAGCGAAAGTTAAAGTTGTAAATTTTCTTCATAAACTCCTAAGTACACCTCATTAGAGGCATATTTGACGTATAGTCAAGCTGCATTATCTCATCTTTTTAATTAATGTAGTTTTTTAAAACAGTTATTCCTAATGTTAAGAATAAATAAACAGTAGTTACCACAGATGAGTTGGTGAATATTCTAACACACACATGTTGATGTGAATGCTGCTTTTATATGCATTAAGCATAAAATGATACTCTCAGTTTGAACAGCTTGAATACGAGCAGGAAACAAATGTTCATTCACCTATAACTTCCACAACATGAAGCTGGAGCTTCTTCTTCAGAGCATTCAGAGTGGCTGTGAGAGGTTCTTGGTTGTCATTTATCAACGTCAGATTCTGCTTTGTGTCGTGAGAGAAGGAAAGCCACATCGTCCCATATTCCTCTGTGGACACCACAAAAGGCCTGCAGGAAACTTGGATTAATTTTATGTCACTTAAATGCTGCACTTCAAATACGAGCACTACATATCTCACCTGATGAAGCTGGTTAAAGGGACTTTATATGAAAACTGCAATGACTGAGACGTCCCAGGAGGCAGCTGGTAAGATACCGTCCCGACCACCTCGACGTGAACCGCAGGCCTCTTCACAGTTAGAGAATACTGGCCCACTGCTACACTGTAGCTTGTCACCTCCCCCGCTGGACTATCACATAGGCAGGATACCTAAAAATAAACAATACAACGAAGCAACCTCATTATAAAAGACTAATGGACACCAAACGACTCTATTGATAATTTTCTACTGAATAATTTACCTCAAGTTCTTCAGAGTCGACCTGAAGCAGCATCTGTTGTATGGCAGACTCGGAGGAGTTCATAATAAAAACAACTAATATTAATGAATCTTCCTTCTGCACATGACAGGCTGAGAGATTCAGGCTTTGGTTGGCACACAAGGGAGCGATTTCTGAGTGTGAAAGGCCAGAAAGCTCTGCAGGAAGATAAGAATCCAGACACACTTCTGTTAGTCTGCCTGGGTCGTTATGTGGACCAGGACCAGCAGCTACCACACAGTTATCCCTGCGGAGAGCAGGGTTACATCCCTTTGTGTCAGATTCAGTTAACTCTGCCTCTGCGTGACAGGTGCCATTAGCAGTAGTGAGGCTCTGAGAGAGCTGAGATGTCTGTTCGGCCAGCTCTGAGGCGTTGTTGGAGTCTAGTAGGTTGTTACACAGCAGGTTATCTACAGCACTGGGAGGAGAGATGAGGGAGCTGGATATTTGCTCGTTTGCGATAAAGGACGAGCCCAGACCTTGACCTTTGGCTTTTCTTCGGAATCGCTGTGGCATCGGCTCAGATTTTCCCATCTGTTAGAAGCAAAAACACATATATGTAGGAAAAATGTTCAGAATCAGCAATGCAAATAGCTGCACAAATAGCTCCACGTTAAGCACTTTCACTTATAGCAGGGGTTTTAAATGAGAATTGGCCCTGCAAGGTCTCCAATGGACTTTGAAACGTGTTCAAGACATACCTATGCAAGTTTAAATGAAAGTTTAAATGAAAGAACTACTAGAACTTTTATGCATTTATCATGTAATTTCAAAGATCTGGCCCACTTAAGATCAAAGTGCGCTGCATGTGGTCTATGATGTAAATGAGTTTGACATCCTTAAATTAATAGCATTAGTAGATCCTACCACCCGAGAAAATGTTCAGCCAATCATTGAATATGTTCTAAAAAGCAACACCTTTTGTCTCATCTTAGACTCACCGTAGCCTAGCATATTCGCTAAGCTCTTGTTCTGCTCTGTTTTTATTTATTAAGCTAATGCTAAGATTGAATGTTAACGCGTGTGAACTGGCATTTAGCGGGGTTGTGTGATTCAGTAGGAGGAGACGGACGTCTTGCTGGCGTGTCAGAGAGGCCCCTTCTGCTGGTGTGCTGAAGTTATGTGTTCACGTGGGAGCACGTGGAAAGGACGACTGTGAGTGCTGCTGCCATGGCCTGCTGGTAGCCGTGACCCAGTTTCCCCGCTATCCCCTTGAACTGCCTGGAGGTGTGAGTACTGTTGTTTGCACGTGCTTTTATTTTTACTGCTTGGCAACAAGTGAAGCGACCATATTGTTTTAGGTGTGTGTGTGTGTTTGGTGAGAGCGCGTGTGGGCCCACAATATTATTTGATTATTTTGTTTCTGTTGAGGTAGATACCTTACCATTGTTTAACAAACTTTATTGATTTTACTTATTTCCTTTGTGTTGTTAATTCAGCATTCACTAAAGTGGAGTTAACTTTATAATTGACCTGCTTGTGTGTGATTTATTTCCATATAGTGTAGTTTTATTGCATATTTAATACCATAAGCACGACACAGGAAATCATTCCTGCCTGTGGCCATCTCCCTGTACAACGCATCCACTTAACACACTGTTTGCTGCTACAGCTACACATGTTTCTTTTCCAAATATTTATTTATAAGTGACTTTATGTATGTATGTATGTATATGTATATATTGTACTATTCTTAGTTAGCGTATTGTCTGTCTTGTCTTAATGTTGGTTTAAAATGGAGCACTGTAACAAAAAATAATTTCCCCCAGGGATCAATAAAGTATTCTGATTCTGATTAAAAAGGGAGTATCAATAGGAAAGTAACAACAGGAACCCAGGGCCCCTCTCAATAGAACGTGGGATGGGTGTTACACATAAATATTAATGAAGTT